ACCAACATCTCTTGTTGCCTGAATTGTTAATGTTAGCCCTTCTGACAGGTGTGAGGGGGTATCTCATTGTGGTCTTGATTTGTATTTTCCTGATGATGAGTGATGTTAAGCATTTTTTCATGGGTCGGTTGGCCATGTGGATGTCTTCTTTGGAGAAGTGTCTATTCATGTTTTTTGCCCATTTCTTCACTGGATTATTTGTTTTTTGGGTGGTGAGTTTGATAAGTTCTCTATAGATTTTGGATACTAACCCTTTATCGGATATGTCGTTTGCAAATACCTTCTCCCATTCTGACAGTTACCTTTTAGTTTTGCTGATTGTTTCCTTCGCTATGCAGAAGGTTTTTATTTTAACAAGGTCCCAATAGTTCATTTTTGCTTTTGTTTCCCTTCCCTTGTCCAGAGACATGTTGAATAAGAACCTGCTGTGGCCAGGGCCAAAGAGGTTTTTGCCTGCTTTCTCCTCTAGTATTTTGATGACTTCCTGTCTTACATTTAGGTCTTTCATCCATTTTGACTTTATTTTCGTATATGGAGTAAGAAAGTGGTCCAGGTTCATTTTTCTGCATGTTACTGTCCAGTTTTCCCAGCACCACTTGCTGAAGAGACTGTCTTTATTCCATTGGACATTCTTTCCTGCTTCGTCAAAGATTAGTTGGCCATATGTTTGTGGGCCCATTTCTGGGTTCTCTATTCTGTCCCATTGATCTGAGTGTCTGTTCTTGTGCCAGTACCATACTGTCTTGATGATTACAGCTTTGTAGTACAGCTTAAAGTCCGAAATAAATAAACTTTTTTTAAAAAATGGTTTAAAAGTGTATGCTGGGCAGAAACTCACTGAGCCCTAAGCACACTGATCGAATTTCCATGTAATTCTAGCATGCTCACTCCATATGCTCATTCAAGCTATTCTGTTTTAATAGGAAAGGAATATAAATAGTTCATTAAAGAAATTAATAGCTAATTGAAGTGGCCACCAAGATACCTCCATGCAGTGAACTGAACAACATCACAATGGACCCCAGGTAGTGACTGGGAACCAGCTGCTGGGAGATGCATCCTCGGAAATGAACCTGCAGCTCTTCATGTCCATCCAGCAGTGCTCTTCTGTCTTCTGTCATGGACACTTTTATCTTTTTTTAAGTTTGTTTATTTATTTTGAGAGAGAGAGAGAGAGAGAGAGAGAGAATGAATGAATGGGAGAGGGGCAGAGAGAGAGGGAGAGAGAATCCCAAGCAGGCTCTGCACTGTTAGCGCAGAGCCCAACACAGGGCTTGAACCCACGAACTGTGAGATTGTGACCTGAGCCAAAACCAAGAGTCAGAGGCTCAACCAACTGAGCCACCCAGGAGCCCCATGTCAAGGACTGTTTTATAATCTGAGGTTCCCAAATCTTTTATCCACTCCATGTGGGGAGTATAGATATTTGAGCCTGTAGCATTTCATCCTGCAGGGACTGCCGGTGATCCAGTCATCCAGAGCTGGGTTACCACATGTCGGTGCTGTGCTCTGGTTTCAGGAGGGTGCAGAGCATCTGCAGTTCTTTGGTTATGACTATGGTTTGCTTTTGGTCAAGAGCCAGCCATAAAAGGGTGTGGGAGTGCGGACAAGAAATCCATCATAAAAAACCTCTGATTGCTGTCTTTTGGATAAATCCTGTTTCAAGGGCTAGTCCTGACACCATTTATTTGGTTTTATATGAGAGAAGACAACTGGAAAATGGCTCCTTTTTAAAAAAATTTATTAATGTTTGTTTATTTTTGAGAGAGTGAGAGAGAGAACGTGCATGGTGGGGGAGGGGCAGAGAGAGAGGGAGACACAGAATCCGAAGCAGGCTCCAGGCTCTGAACTGTCAGCACAGAGCCCGACGCGGGGCTCGAACTCAAGAACCGTGAGATCATGACCTGAGTGGAAGTCAGATGCTTGAGCAACTAAGCCACTAAGATGCCCCTGGAAAATGGCTTGTTAGAGCAATGCATCAATATGTCACTTCAGGTTAATTAAAGTGGTCAGTTTCTTTCATTTGAAACGGACACTGTCTTTGAGGCAGCTCTGAGTGAATCCCACAGTAGAGTCAAGTTGAAGTGACTTTATCAATGTCGCCTTATTCTTTACATTTTGAAAATGTTTCCATTTAAGATTTTTTTTTTTCTCTTCTCCTTAAGGACCTGGGAAGAGCCAACAGACAGAGACCTAAGGTGAGTACATGATGTCAGCCCTGCAAAGCCCTGCTGATAACTAGTCTCCAAGACTGGTAGAAACCTTGGGGATCAATGTATGGCTTATAGTTTTCTTTCTGTTCTGACTTACACCACCTTTGGGTTTGTTTGTTTGTTTGTTTGTTTGTTTGTGTGTTTGTTTTTATTGTGCTCTAGCCGCCAGCACCTGAAGATCTTGCAGTGATTTGCTTCACCAGTGGAACTACAGGTAAGGTTTGAAATGCAGTTGCCTCTTTTTTTTTAATATGAAATTTATTGTCAAATTGGTTTCCATACAACACCCAGTGCTCATCCCAAAAGGTGCCCTCCTCAATGCCCATCACCCACCCTCGCCTCCCTCCCACCCCCATCAACCCTCAGTTCTCAGTTTTTAGGAGTCTCTTATGTTTTGGCTCCCTCCCTCTCTAACCTTTTTTTTTTCCTTCCCCTCCCCCATGGACCTCTGTTAAGTTTCTCAGGATCCACATAAGAGTGAAAACATATGGTATCTTTCTCTGCATGACTTATTTCACTTAATGATGATTTCTCTGTATGACTTATTTCACTTAATGATGATTTCACTTAAATATGACTTATTTTCACTTAATACCCTCCAGTTCCATCCACGTTGCTACAAAAGGCCAAATTTCATTCTTTCTCGTTGCCAAGTAGTATTCTATTGTGTTTATAAACCACAATTTCTTTATCCATTCATCAGTTGATGGACATTTAGGCTCTTTCCATAATTTGGCTATTGTTGAAAGTGCTGCTATAAACATTGGGGTACAAGTGCCCCTATGCATCAGCACTCCTGAGTGGCTAAAATGAACAAATCAGGAGACTGTAGATGCTGGTGAGGATGTGGAGAAACGGGAACCCTCTTGCACTGTTGGTGGGAATGCAAACTGGTGCAGCCGCTCTGGAAAACAGTGTGGAGGTTCTTCAAAAAATTAAAAATAGACCTACCCTATGACCCAGCAGTAGCACTGCTAGGAATTTACCCAATGAAATGCAGTTGCTTCTAAGTGGTATCTGGAGGTGTGTATTCCCTGCCCCCTTTCTTGGGTGACCGACAGGTGACGTAGTTGAACTACAGATGGACTAAAAGCAGAGGAGACAGAAGTGTTGCGAGCGCAGTGTCCTTGTGGCCCTGTCAGACATTCCCAGAATCTGAGTGTGCCGTGTATTTCCTCAGACATTTATTGAAGGTGACAGTGGATCCGCCCGTTTCTTGGGATAAACCAACATTTTATTTCCAGAAATAAAATTCCTGTTTTCTCCTCTTCCCACTACACACGCCCTCTAACACTCACCCATGTTAATAAAGGTTGTTTAAGACAATCTTTTCATGTAAAGGATTGCAGATTGTTTAGACATTTAATGTCATTCAGCATCTGGCTTTCACAGTTGCACCGAACACTAGAGGCATTTGAGGCCCCAATTATACAGGGTTCTGGGCTTCCTTAATTCCTGTCATTTGGGGATGGCGTTTCTTTAACTTGGTTTCTGCTCATGTGTGTTCCTCAGGCTACCCCAAAGGAGCCCTGATCACTCATCAAAATATAGTGAGTGATTGTTCAGCTTTTGTGAAAATAACAGAGGTAAGTGTTTGGGATATTGCCATCTTTCTTCACGCTCAGTGGTTGGCACTAGGCCTCAAGAATGAAAGTGTTTTATGGCAGAACCGCCATGTTTGGTCCCTGCTGTGTTTGGAGCACTGTTTGACGTGGGGATGAGGTCTGAGCTCTAATATGGTCTAAGATCACCTTCTCTCAGATAGTTTTCATTGTGGACCTAATCTCCAACTCCTGCTTGTGACCATTAAGCTGAATTGACGGACAAGTTATTATAACTTTTATGTAGTAACACTTCATGTGGGTACTGCCCTATATAAATGTTTCCAGGAGAGGACCAAGAAGAAATGACTCTCTAGTGCTCCCATCCTGGGGTGGGGAAAATAATTTCTTTAAGCAGACAATGAAACGTTAAATGGTGCGGAAGGTTTTTGAATTACTGTTATTTATTACAGTTGATCTGACTTCTATTTTATGAGAAGATTAAAACCTTGACCTTCAGTTGGTTTCCTATTAAAGTTTGCCCTCCAAGTGTCCTAGTCTGCGGGGCCGCCATAGCAAAATAGCACAGGCTGAGTGACTTAAATGACAGACATTTATTTTCTCACAGTTCTAGAGGCTGGAAATCCATGATCAAGGTGTCAGTAAATTTGGTTTCTGGTGAGGGCTCTCTTCTGGCCTCCTTGCTGTGTCCTCACATGGCCTTTCCTCTTTGTGCACAAGAGAGGTTTCTTTGTGAGAGAGAGGTTTCTGGTGTTTCTTCCTCTGCTTCCAAGGGCACCAGCCCTATTAGATGAGCCCCCCAGTTTATGGTCTCATTTAACCTGAATTACCTCCCCAGGGGCTCTATCTCCAAATACAGTCACACTGGGGGTTAGGGCTTTAACATAAATTTGGGGAGGGGAACACAATTCAGTCTGTAGCACCAAGGGTATATTTCAAACTTGCCTTTTAAAGAAAAGTACTTATCAAGCAATATCATGCCTTTCCCTCATGCCCTTGGCACATTTTACATAATTTGCTTTTGCGGTCTCTGGGAGGGTTGCGTAGGTCCTAATTTTTGTGCTGGGAGCCTGTGCTGAATGGTTTTGGGGAATGTGCATCTTTGGTGGCTGGAGAAGGTCTGTCTCTTACCTACACTCACACTTTCTTAGTCCCCAGTTCCTTTTTCGACATACAACTTTATAAACAGAATTCAATATTTAGTGCCTCATCCACCTGGAATTTTAATTTCCTACTTAGCCTTCGAAGAAAACTTAAAATAAGGTTAGTGGCTCATGGAGGCGAATGGCTACAAACTTTGTTTAAAATTAATTATACTATCGGGGGCACTCACAACTTTGTAAAACTTCTAATCTTAGTAACATACATTTGGGGGGGGCGGGGCGGGTACCAAATCAGAAAATTGAAAAGTATAGAAATTACCGAGTCTGACTCCTCATTATGTAGCAGTTTCCTACCAAGATGTACTATTTGGGATGCAGATCACGCTTGAATAAAATTAAGCTAAGATTATGGCATGTTCAGCCTCCATCACCCACTTCTGGAGCTGCTGAGTTTGCTGGTGCTTTCATCTGTCACCACATTATCGTGAGGGACAGGCCAGCTTCAAGGAGGGGATGGGCACAGCCCAGAAATGGTTGCATAGACACCCGACAAGGCCTCCGTTTCTTAATTGGTGTGGCAACAGCTGCTGTAAGGCAGCCCCTGCTTTGGCCAGAATTTTGTACGTAAATAACATGAACATTCTTAGCCTTGAAACGGAAACCAGATGCCTTGCTCAATCCAGCTGCAACCTGTATCACAATCAGCATTTTATTGCAGATGGTGCCAGATCAGAGCTTGCACCAAACAAATCAAGATTATTTTTCATGGGGTGAAGTAGGCCATTCAGGTGAAGACGTTGATCAAACTAAAATATTCAACATGCATTTATACTATAAAAGAGCTTGGAAATTCAATTTCTCTTCTCTCGTCCTTTCCCTTTTCAACACAGTACACTATCTTATGTTGTAATAGATCTTCTGTTTCCACAACATAATATGTTACCTTGTGTTGGAGTGGACCTTTTACTTCTTAAGGTGAAATTGAGCTTACTGGGCTGTGGGGTACTGTATCTTGGAAACACTAAATAATTAAAGCACATGATTCCTTAATATCCCAATCTGGACAAAATCTGCCTTATTTTGGTTAACGTCGTCATGAGTGGGTTTACTTCATCAGGAGTGAGCTCTACTCTAACTGTATAATTAAAGTGTTGATTTTCATTTAATCCTTTGGAGAGAAACAATTTCAGAATGTAAGCAAAAGCTGTTTCTCCTTGGTTTTGAGGTATTATGTGCTCTGAAGTACAAATGGGGAATTGCTGGGAATCTTAATGCTTTTCTGCTTGCTGGTGTCTGTTTGCAGAATACAGTTGATCCTTCCCCAGATGATACTTTGATCTCTTTCTTGCCTCTCGCCCATATGTTTGAAAGAGTTGTAGAGGTAGGCCCTTTGTTTTACTTTTCTTGCTTGCTTGCTTGTTTTTGTTGTGCTAAGTTGTCATGTTTTACAGAAGGTACTTGCCTTGAATGCCAGTGACACACACATTTCGTTTTTGCCACTCGCACACATGTATGAGCAGCTTCTGCTGGTAAGTCTTATGTGTAGACTGTCATCCCCACAGTTAATTCTTTGCTCAGCCCCGTTTTAGAAATGAATGATTAATTTATTTTAAGGAGTATAAATTTTACTTTTATTTTAAGTAGTATATTATTTTAAGGAGTATAAATTTGGGGGTGGGGGTCCGGATACTTGAACTTTATTTTTTTTTAAGTTTATTGATTTTTGAGAGAGAGAGAGAGAGAGAGAACAAGCAGGGGAGGGAGAGACAGGGAGACACAGAATCTGAAGCAGTCTCCAGGCTCCAGCTGTCAGCACAGAGCCTGACGCAGGACTCGAACTCATGAACCGTGGGATCATGACTTGAGCCAAAGTTGGACGCTTAACTGACTGAGCTACCCTGGCACCCCGATATCTGAACTTTATTAATCATTCATTTTAAAATTAGAAGCTCAGACTTTCAAAGGATATGCACGTGGGCATGATTCCAGAAGTTTAACTTTAAAAGTAGAATTTTTATGAACACCATCCTACAAAGCCTTGAGAGGCTTCTGCCTCTGTAAGAAGTCTCTATTTTTGATGGTGCTTGTTAATAGCGCACAAGTCGGCTTAAGACACACTTTTTTTCACCAGTATTCTCAGTGCCCTTGGGAAAGCAGGGTGATGTACAGCTGACCTTTGCCCGGGCTCCCTGTACACAACTGTGTGACTAGTTTAAAACTAACCGAGAACCATCTCCTTTCCTTCTTGGACAATTTTGGATCGTATACTTCTAGGAAAAAAAACAATGGCTGCCATCCATTCATTTAACAAATATTTACTGAGCAGCAGCTGTGTGCCGGGCACTGTGCGAGGTGTCTGTGACAAAGAGGTGACTAATCCAGAGCTAGCGGCCCTCTGATTGGCTGCTGCCCTCAAGGGCACTCTTAGCCCTAAAGGATCAAGGGTCACGAGATCCCGTCTTCCATCTGTTACCTCTGCTACTGCACACCTCAGGAGATCTTGTGAGTTTCCAGAGTGATCTCAAGCGAGCTGATAATGGACCATGTATAACTAATGGCAGTTTTGGAAGGATGCCTGGGAGGTCGGGGCACACCTGAACAAAAGCCCCCTGCGCTTGAAAATTTCAACTGTGAACTGTGGTGTCCCTTTCCAGTGGTTTCTGCTTTCGGGCCCGAGACCATTTGTACTTCCATGACATCATCTTTTGAATCTCTCTTTCTTTTTAAAATTTAAAATAGGCTGACTGTTTGTCAAGCACTTATGGCTTGCCAGTGCCATTTGCATCAGACAGGAACACATCCACACAATGGATCCTACAGCAGGCCACTCTGGTGTTAGATGGCCCGGGATCTCAATGGCGACTTATCCAGTGGCTTTTCAGAAATTTTTAGTTAGATTCAGATTTTCAAAATGGGACTTTAATAAGCTTGGCAAGTAGCCAAGTTTGCAACGTAGCTAGGTTTTTGTTTTGAGAATAAATTAGGCCTAAAGTTTCTAGAAGAGTAAAATACTTGGATCACATGACATTCACCACCCATTTATCATAAACCTAAAACAGCGGAAGCTCCATCATCGTCCCTAAAAACACCACCGCCTGGTTCTTAACCAGCTCCTTTATCTTCAGGATGATCAAGAGAAATACCGCATTTCCATGTTGTGCAATGAGTGGGGAATGTAAGAACACTTTTTGAAAAGATACCCACGTGTAGAAACTTCAGGCTTTCTGGAAACTGGTCCAAAATGCTCAAGCTGGAGCCCTGGGTATCTGTGTGTATGTTGTGTAGCGCCTGTTGCGATGCTGATGTTATTTTCATTTCCTGCCCTAGTGTGTAATGCTGTGTCATGGAGCTAAAATCGGATTTTTCCAAGGAGATATCAGGCTGCTTATGGACGACCTCAAGGCACTTCAACCCACTATCTTTCCTGTGGTCCCCAGACTGCTGAACCGGATGTTTGACCGAGTAAGTTCTGAGCAGCAGAGAGGGGGACCTCGAGTCTGAGACTTGGGTTTGAATCGGGCTCAGCCGGGTACCTTCTGTTCCCATGGTCTCAGGAAAGCGCAGTTTACCCATCGGTAAAACCAGAAATCATCTACCTCACAGAGCTGTTGGTAAGGACTCTGAGAAAAAAACAGACCAACAGACTTTGTTAACTGAAAGGCCCAACACAGGTGTAAGTGGGAGGTCATCTTATTTGTACAGTAAACTCTTTTGAGCCTCCGTTCTCTCATCTGCATGATGGACTGTTCCCTCCGCCCCATGCTGTGTAGCTCATAAAATTGCTAATCGCATCACATGAGAACAATAACTATGAAACGACTCTATAAATTGTAATGTCCACGCACACATAACATGACTTACTTAGCCACATAGAAAGAAACGACTGAGCCAAGCCAGGGATGGAGAGAATGCCAGCCTCTCCGTAGGGCGTCACTGTGGCACGGACCACACATCCTGGGCCAGACCAGCTTGTGGCATGAGCATTCTTCAAGATGAATTTGGACCGGGCAGTTTTCATGCTCTTTATTGGAAAGCAGGGCTTCTGTTATCTATGAGAACCTTCTTGGGTTTTTTAATGGTTCTTTAAAGAAACTTTTTAAAATAGCTTGATTGAGATATAATTTACCGTCTGTATAATTCACCCATTTAAGTGTAAAATTCAAAGGTTTTTAGGACATTCACAGAGCTCTGCACCCATCACCAGAACCCATTTTTACTACCTTGAAAGGAAACGCTGTACCTGACCTATAGCTATCCCCTACCGCCTTCTATCCCCAGGCAAAATGAATCTACTTTTTGCATGTATAGATTTCCCTGTTCTGGACTTTCATATGAATGCAATCATGACATACCTGTTCTTCTGTGTCTGGCTTCTTTCACTTAGCGTATTTTCAAGGTTCATCCATGTTGTAACATGGGTCCGTACTTCATCCCTTTAAATGGTCAAGTAATATTCCACTGTATGGTTATAACGCATTTTTTTTTTAAAAGACACGTTTATTCAGCGTCATGATCAGACTATTACATTTCGCAATCAACAGCATGGGTGCGAAAAAAAAAATCTACATTAAAACCCTTTGTTGGAATGCTTTACACTTTCCACAGAACAGAAACTAAAATAACCTGTTATACGATTAGTCACAAATACAGTCCTCGAGTTGTTTGCCCATACACATGAGTATTGTCTAAAACATGTCTTCTTTGTAGCAGCTAGGCCCTGCCACCACTGTGCTTGGCTGAGTTCACAAATCTGTTGTAACCTGTAGCTTCCCTGTCACTTCTCTGGCTTTCCTCTCCTGCTAAGCTTTGTTTCCTGGCAGTAATTAAAACCTTCTGCCACTGCCATAGCTACTGCTGCTGCTGGGACCGCCATAGCCACCTTGGTTTCGTGGTCTGGCAAAGTATTGGCCTCCACCACCATAGGGGCCAGAGCTTCTGCCTCCAAAATTTCCT